GGCTGTCATTTCGAGCTTTTTTGTTTCATACAACAGATGTAACATAAAATAATGGAGCATTCATGCTTTTTGACTAAAGAATGAAAAGATTTTCAATTACAATTAAAAATTGATTCGAGAAAAACGTATCCATTTTCTGTAGACTCGAATGTTAGATTATCTTCGTTGTTCTTATTTATAAATAATTCACAGATACAGAGAATATACTTTTTATTTGTACCTATGATCGCCAGCGTGAATTAATTAATCGAATAAAATATTTGACATTTGTATTTAAGGAAATTTTTCCATGGTATGTGTAACACGTAACACGGAGACGTACAAACTGAATAATAAAGTTCAGATCGTGTTAAACTTTCAAAGATTGTTCGCATTTGCATAAGCTGAAAAGGCGAGAGATAATCATCTAGACTCGTTTTTAACGAAATCACCATAGTTATCACACACCGTATTCCCGATTAAAATTCATTTGTCGCATAAACGGGGTAATAACCGAACCGTGAGTTAACTATCCGAGTCGAGATCCCGCGCGTTTCTCGCTCGAGGTATGACACCATGCTGTGCAATTTATATGCATCCATTTGTAATAGATGTCGTGAAAGTAAGTTGGCACAAGCACCGGTTTCCGTGGAGGGGAAAACGACCAACCACCTCACGAACACGTGGTTAAAACGAAGTGCGTGTTACAGCCACGTGGCTCGCCATCTGATAAGACCGGTCTAACGTGAACGTACTCGCCATTTAACCTAACTAACTGGCCATTTTTTACTCGGGTCATTGTTAAAAAGTTCAGGTCATTGTTAAAGCCAATTGTGCCATGTACGTACAACGGTTACAAAAAGCATTTACAGAGACATATTCTTATTATTATTATTATTATTTTTTTTTCTTTTAGGTTCTAGTATTATTTTCATAGCGTAGAATTATTTTCATCTTTTCATCTTTCTTCTATATAAAAATTGTTGAAATTTATCGTTAGAGTATGAACCTAATAGCTTAATATTAGCTTATTATATAGAAGAGATAGAAAATATTTTATAAATTCATTAGGTGATAAAAGAGTTAATTTTTTAAGTAAAAAAATATAATAATACATGTTACTTCCAATGGAATTGCAAATTAATTGTTTTAAAATAATATTAAAGTAATATGCCTGAAAAAGGTGTATTTTGATAAAATATTTATATATAATTTAATTATATTATTACTAGTAGTAAATCTACTAGCGGATTTTAGTTTATTTTAAAACAATTAATTTGCAATTAGTAGATTTTCATGAAGTGATTGATTTCACAACAATGGTGTTTAATCATTTGTAGAAAAAAAAAAGAAAAAAAAAGATATTTGAATACATTTACGCGAAATAAGATTTTCCGTGACAAAGCACGTTCCATTGAACATCGTTCCTGAC